GGCGAACTGGAACGCACCAGTTGCCAAATAATATGTTGGTAAGAAAATAATAATCACCAACTTGCTCGGGTGGTGCATGAAGTGGGAATTGTTGTCCTGCGTACTATAATATGGAGTGGCTGGGATGACTAACTGCGCTTGTTGTGTTTTTTTGGGCGGGGTTCGCCGATAATAATAATGGGATATTAGTAGTATGTAGGTGTAACAATAGCGTATAGACCTGAAGTCCTCATTCTACTACTGATGTGATTTCAGAAAATACGATCTTTTCCTTTTTTTTGTCATTATGTGCCGTTGGTGTCCGGTAGCGTCGGGATGAGTCATCCAGGAGAGCTTGTCGCATTGATAGGAGAAACCTGCTGCTGAATTATGGATTTACTTGATTTCGATGCGATGCCCCGTCAAGAATAAACCCGCGAACTTCATTCAGAAGTGCCTGGTAATACCGCTATTTTGTAATGGATGTGACGAAGGTATGAGTTTTGAAAAAGGTTATATAAGGGAAAGAAGTGGTGCGAGAGATTCATGATGCATCTTGTGGGCGACTTGACTGTCATTGACATTATTGGACGAGTTCCTCTGCACCAAATCTAAGGACACTCGATTAAAAATAAAAATTTCTCCGAAACTGGTAGATTTCGTGCTGGCTTGGTCATTTTATCCGGCATGCTCCTGAACGGAGTTTCTCATCTTTGTCTCGCGTATAGCGTCTTGAGCGAACCACTTAATTTCCAAACGCAGACGCGAATTTACGGTATCCATAACTTTTCATTTCACCCTTTTTGAAAAGCCATGTAACGGTTTGCGGCGCTTTTCGGTGAATTAATCCGCCTCCACAAATTAGGAGCGGTATTTTACTGGAGCATTGGCCTGCTTGATTGCGATTGGCCTCCCACAAGCCTTTGCTGCAGAGGTGTTGAAGAGACTTCTCGTCAGACACAGATTCGGCACTCCTCTCCGTCTCGTTTACAATATCCTTTCACTTTCTCTTTTCTCTGAAAAGTGCATGACAGCAGAGCTGGAAGGAAGTGATGCCCAAACTCCGCCGTCTGCATACTTCGCCCGCGCTGCCTCACGCTACACGCAATAACCTACAGCTTCTCATCGGACGTTGGGGCGGTTCTCCGTTCACGCTGGCAAGCGGTCCGACGCCGCCGCGATCGATAATGGCTGATACGCCAATTAAACTGATTTCTATTGTTTTCAGCTTCAAAAAGCTGAAATTATTTTTCGTCCAGCTTCAATAAGGAAAGGTAAGTATGTTTCAATGAAACTAGATTTTATTTAGCATGAATTTACTCCGAAGCACGAAGTTATTCAGGGAAAGTTCGAAAAAAATGCGAAAAAAAAGAAGAAACAAGTTTTCTAAGATAATTTCATGCTGAATTCATGCAAAATGTAATCTAATTGCGGTAAACATACTTTTTCGTTCTTCTTCTTCCTAGCTTTAGTCCCGCGCCGTCCTGTTAGACGTCGCCACTTGTTCCGATCCACTGCATCTTCTGCCGTGGCTTTCACTTCAGTGAGGTCCTTCTTGATGACGTCCCTCCATCTTTTCTTTGGGGCTCCTCGTGGTCGCTTGCCCTCTGCTTCGAATTCCAATGCCTTCCTTATTGGGTGGTCCTCAGGCCTTCTCAGTACGTGCCCATACCATCGCAGTCGCTGCTCTCGTGCCTTCAGCTGGATCGGAGCCGTCTGTGTGACCGCCCTGACGTCCTCGTTTCTGACTCTGTCGAGTCGTGTCCAACCGCAGGCCCATCTCAGCATCCTCATTTCAGCTGAGTGGAGCTGCCTTTCATGGTTCTTGCAGATGGGCCAGCACTCACTGCCGTAGAGCATTGTAGGCCTTACCACCGCCCGGTACACCTTGCCCTTGAGCGTTCTCGAGCACCGCCGGTCGCACAGGATGGTGGACTCCCTCCATTTCATCCAGGCTGCGTTGATTCGGGTCTTCACCGCCTGGTCCACGCTGCCATCAGCTGCTAGGTCGCTCCCCAGGTACTGGAAGTCCTCGACCCTTTCGATGCTCTCGCCGTGACGGTCTACGATGGGTTCGGTACACTCTTCAGAGCTCAGGAACTTGGTCTTCTTCACGTTCAACCGGAGTCCATTCTCAGCGAGCACATCCTGCCACCGCTGCACCTTGTCCTGGAGTTCCTCCCTGCTGTCCGCTATCAGGGCGATGTCGTCAGCGTAGAGGATGGTTTTCAGTGGTCCCTCCATGAGTTCTTTTGCCATGACATCTAGAGTCAGGAGGAAGAGGAACGGGCTGAGGGCTGATCCTTGGTGTACCCCAACCGTGATGTTTACCTCTTTCGTCAAGCCGTGCGGGGTGCGTACAGCTGCTTTAGCCCCATCGTACATATCCTTCACTATGGAGACTAGGTGCTCCGGAACGTTACGTTCTCTGAGCGCTCTCCAGAGTACAGGCCGAGGCAGGCGGTCGAATGCCTTCTCAAGGTCCAGGAAGGCTAGGTAGCAGGGTCGCCGCTTCTCTCGGTACTTCTCCATCAGCTGTCTGGCGATGAAGATGGCGTCAGTGGTGGACCTTTCGGGCATGAAGCCGAACTGTTCCTGCGAGATAGGGACAAGTTCCCTCAGCCTAGTGTTGACCAGGCGCTCGTACAGCTTCATGGTATGGGGAGTCAACTTGATGCCGCGGTAGTTGGAGCACTCCGTCGCGTCCCCTTTGAAGATGGGGACGATTGTGCTGCTCCTCCACGCATCTGGCATCCTTCCTTCAGCCGTTACGTTGTTTAGGAAGTCTGTTAGCCAACTCACCCCAAGCTCTCCCAGGGCCTTCCATGCCTCTATCGGTACCCCGTCTGGACCCACTGCTTTCCCAACTTTCATTCTCCCTAGCTCCCGGCGGACTTCATTCGTCCAGGGCGTGATGGGACCTGCCGTCGCCTCTATCTGTGGGCTATCCTTGCGGGGGAATTCTTCGTTCAGAAGTCCCTCGAAGTATTCTTCCCACCTCTTCTGACTTCGGCTGGTTTCCTGAGAATGGCCCCGTTGCTGCTCTTCACAGTCTTTACGACCCTGATGTCCTGAGCAGCGCGATGCCGAGCTTTAGCCAGGCGGAAGACGAACTTGTCCCCTTCTCGGCCTTCCAGCTCGTCCATTTCCGTATTCTTGGCCTTAGCAACGGCTGCCTTGGCGAGTCGCTTGCAGCTCTTGTAGGCAGCGTAGTCTTCTGGGCTCCGTGTCTTTTGCCAGCGTTTATATGCTTCCTTCTTCTGCTTGACGATCCCCTGGACTTCCTCGTTCCAGAACCAGGCTGCCTTGTCTCCTCTGATACCACCTCGCGTCTCTCCCAGGACTTCCTTGGCACACTGTAGGATGACCTCTGCTGCGTAGGTCCAGGTGTCCTGGACTGGCCCGTGGGTCTG